TGCACCAGGGGGAGCAGGTGCGTGGCACCGGGAAGCGGGCAGAGCGGGAAGGCCCCTGGGCCCCCCTCCGCTGGGGCCCCGGCACAGGAGTCCTCCTCCCGGGCGATCAGGTTCAGTCCGGTCAGGGCCAGGTCCTGTGCTTCTCGCAGGGCCGAGAGGGGAAACGGCCCATCGCGAGAGCCTGTGGTCCTCAGGCCTGAAATCCCAGCCCCGGCGCTAGCGACAGACACAAAAGGAAAGGCACAGCGTGAGATGGGGGTGCGGTCAAGGCCCCAGACAACTTGTCCCCCAAATTCTCTAGCTGCCCTGTCCGGCCACAGGCCTCCCAGGCTGGTCAAGTCCCAGAAAGTTCTGGAAACTTCTTTCTAGACAAGCTTTGTAGGAGTCATGCTTACCTGCCAAGCCCCAGGGGCTGCAGCAGGGTGCTGGTGGGAGCCTCAGAACCACAGCTCAGGAGGTGGCACAGACCGAGGGGTGACCCTGGGATCAACGGCTGCTTCAGGAGAAGGCTGATCAAAATGGAACCTGCAGAAGACAAGGCGACACTCGCAGGTGCTCACACGGGAGGCCTTTCTGTGTCCTCGGAAGGAAACGGAGGTTCCCTGGGTGCCACTAACCCACTGGGGCCCCTGGTGCAGAGGGCTCTGGGACACGCCTGCCGGGGCCCCTGGTGCGGAGGGCTCTGGGACACGCCTGCCGGGGCCCCTGCCATTCTCCAGTCCCTGCTGAGTCACAACCACGCCTCCCCGGACCCTCGGAAGGACCACCTGGGGCGCGGCTGCCGGGTGAGGAGCCATGGCCCCTCCCGGCCTGGCTGAGGACGCAGCCTGCAGAGCACAGTGGGAGCCAGCAGGCCTCCTGCAGCAGCCAGGGTTCTGGTACCTTGAGGGTTTGATCTCTGCATCAGGCTGCCAACAAGACTTTTTGGGGACTCTTCTTGCTTTGTGGGGTCACCTCCCAGACTGTGGGTCTTATTTTCTGAAATCAGATAAAATGTGAATCAAAACTTGAGCACAAAAGCACAGCCTATCAGCCACGCTAAATACAACGGCTTAGAACACAGTCTTCTACTTCTGGCCAAAGCCACTCAAGAACCCTCGTGCCTCTCGTCCTCGTGTGGAACAGGAACCACGAGAAAAGGAAAAGGAACGGCAGCTGTTCGCCCACCTGCCAGCGAGCAGCGACACAGAAGCAGCAGCCACTCCTGTCCATGCGCTGTGATGTTCTGAGAGCTTTGCACGTTAGCTCATTGGTTGCCCCAAACCCTACCAGGTGTTGTCATCAGCTGTTTCACATAGAGGACAACTGGGGACGACAGTAAGGAACTTGCTTAAATCACACAAGCCGGTCAGCAGTGTGACGGGGCCTCCTGGCCAGGCTGTGGGCTCCACTGCCTGCTCGTCACCCCACCCCACACTGCCCCTGGACTCCAGGGGTGAGTGGCTGAGGTTCTCAGAGGTGGGCGACAGCCAGAGGTTGGAAAGGGCTGCGAGTGGCAGGGGAGGGGCAGGCATCGGAGGGTAAGCTGAGCTGGCACAGCGCAGTCTCAGTGGAGCCCTCCTGCTGCTGGACTGTCTCTCTGAGCAGCAGGGGTGTCCCTCGGTTCGGCCTGGGCGGGACAAGTGGAGGCTGGGCAGGAGAGGAACACAGGGCCCTGCTACTAGCTGTGTTTCTGGCAGGTTCTGATGCTGCCAGGGGTCCTAAAATGCGCCTGCCAGCACTTTGGCACCATTCCCTTCAAAGGTGCCCCCGAGCTTCCTTCCCCTTCACGTGGCCCAGACTCAGCGATGTGCTTCCAACAAACAGAACGTGCAGAAGCGCCGCTACGGCTCCCGCAGCGAGGCCACAAGAAGGACAGCCCCCACCTGGCTCCCCCCCCCCAACGTGGCTCGCCCCCTCTCTCTCTGGGTTTGCTAGCTCTAGTGAAAGCCAGTCAGCAGGTGATGAGATCAGCCACAGAGCCCTGTGGAGGCGCCCACAGGTGGAGAGGAATTCCATTGCCAGCCCCGTGACTGAGCCCCAGACCCGCCTGCTGGGGCCCTAGCCCTGCAGAGACAAACCATCGCCATGGGCCCTGTCGGAACTGCTGGCCCACAGAGACCAGGAGACAGTAAAGACTCGTTTGAAGCCACAAGTCTGGGCGGCCGGTTACACAGCAATAGGCACGGACAGACTGACTCACCCTCTGGGCCCGCCAGCGACTTGCACCCTGGCTCTGGGTGGCGGGGGTGGGGGACGGACATGTCCGCGTTAAAAGACTCCTTTGTGGGGAAAGATGGTTTTCCAAATTGTGGAGAACACGCTTCTGGCTTTAGAGCCACAGAAGGGCTTTTCCTAGGACTAGAAAAAGTTAACTATGAATGCAAAGTAATGGTTCTGCTAAAAACACTTCAAATACCTGGTTATAAACTTCTAACAGGCTTTGAACTTTTCATGGGATCTATCTGCACACGTCTGTCATTCTGTGTCAGCTCAGCACGTAACAGCGGAGGCATTTTCTTAAAGACACATGAACCACTGCCATTACACGTGGATGGGTCTTGAGAGCATTGTGCTAAGTGAACTAAGACAGAACCATGATTTCACTCACATGTGGGACAGAAAACAACAAAGAACAAACAAAAAACAAACTCATAGGCAGACATCACGGTGGGGGTGATGGAGAGACCTGACTCTGGGTGGTGAGTGCACAATGAGCAGACAGATGTGTTAGGAAGCCGTACACCTGAAACTTACATAATGTGACCAACCAATGTTTCCCCAACAAATAAAAAAAAAAGAAATGTAATAAGACTTAGCAATGCAGTAATAAACATGCAAAGCAGAAAAAAATTCAAGGCATTTTAATCCAAAGTGTTGAAAAAAAACTTTCATTTATTTCCATATTCTTCTAATTCCCCCAAAATATTGGCCATAATTCTATCAAAACATGTTTTCATGTGGGATGACTGCTTTTTTAATAGGGACTGAAGTCAAAGATTTTCAGTAGAAAGAGGGTCAATTAGAAGGTGTGTTGTCACCTGAAACTAATATAATATTGAATGTCAACTGTAATTGAAAAGTAAAAAAAGATTTAAAAATTTTTAAATTAAGAAAAAATGGTGTGTTGTGTCCTGCAGCTTGAAAGGGAGCCGGCCATGGTCTCAGTGCCGTGGTCTGTGTTCGAGGCCGTCTCACCCTCTGATGGGTCAGCCCAGGCCCTTCTGTGTGAAGGGTGCGGACGGGTCCCCTCCGCTCTCCTCTTACCTGGACTACACAAGGCAAGATGCAATTGCACACCCGGCCCATGAAGGGCCAAGGCTGCAGACGCTCAGCTCACCACCAGAAAAGGCGCCCTGAGCCGCACTGTGCCAATTTCAAGGCCGACACCGACACTGTCCCGCCTTCCTGGCAGGCAGGGAGCGGACACAGGCCACCAACAAGCTCATCACACCTGCAGCAAGAGCGGGGCTGCTGGACCAAGACCCAGGGCAGCGAGTGAGGGAAACGCCCCACGTACGCTTGGGGCAAAATCAGTGATTTAAGACAAACGACACACAAGTGAAGACTGACGACCCCGAAGTTTGGAGATGACCTCGCTGGCCTTTCCCAGCCCGAGGAGGTGTGTTACCAAGTCCTACACACGGAAGCAGGTCTAGAGTGTGGGGTTTGATGCTGTAACGCCCCCAACCATCCCCAGCCTCATCCAAACCACCTCTGAGCCTTCAGCAGAGAGGACCAAGGGCCACGTGCAGAGTCTAACTGCAGGCAGGACTAGCCCGACACTGTCCTCAGACCTCCTACTACACACGCGACGCTGGTTCTCCCTCCAGCACCACCCTCACCTGCCGTGGGACGTGGAGGGAACAGCTGGCTTATGTGCTCGTTCATTGCACTGAAGCTTTGTCCTTAATTCATTCATCTCCGCATCTTTAAACTGGAGCTCGGACTGCAGCGACTGGAGCTGGAAGGGAAGAAACAGACTCCGTCACATGTATGTCACATGCAAAGACACCACCGGCTTCCAGATCCCCAGCTAATGGCGAACAACAGTGAGGATGAGAACGAAAATGTGCTAAAAAAAAAAACAAAAAAGGGTGAAAGCCTGCTGTGACGTAATGCCCTGACGCATCAGGCTAGCCTTCTCTCTGAAAGACAGCACGGTCTTCCAGAAATACCTGTCTGCATGGTGGGGGATCAAATAAGAATGCCGGCCACATGCCCAGCACAGAGCTTGACAAGGGCCCTATCTCACAGCCCATGTGACCTTTCAGTGAAGGTGGCGCACAACCCCAGGCCTTCTGGGAAGTCAGGGCAGAGCACCTGGAAGTTTCACTAAAACCCATGCGTGTGCCGAGACCTGCTGCTCTGGCCTCGGGGCCTGCAGCCACCATAGCCGCTGTCCCTCCCGAGCACGCTCCGTGCCAGGCTCGCTCCAGGCAGCCAGTGCAGAGGTCTGGTCTCACCGACCCTCCAGGTCACTTCCTGGACAGATCAGGGATGTGCGCCCCAGAGCTCAGGGCACTGCCGAGGTCACCACTGGTGTGAGGAAGCTGGACTCTAACGCTGGTTGGGCTGACTGCTAAGCCCTTGCTCTTCATCACGTGGATGGAAAGGCAGCCACTGCTTTGGTGCTGTTGCTGCTTTCAAGTTTGCTGTTTGCTGAAGGAAGTGATGGCTCGGGAATGCTGAGGGGAAGGGTGGCATCCACTGGACACCTACTCTTCTTCCTTGCAGAACAGCACCCCCCCGAGAAGCAGGCACCCCCACCTCTGACCCTGTGATCTGAAGGAGAGCCACTGCCTGTGGTGACAGTGACTGGTTCAGGGACAGGCGCCTGGCTCAGGTCAGACAGAGCTTAGATGTTCAAGCTTCCCCAGAATTTTACAGCTGGAGGAGGAGCCAGGCGCTGTGAGCCCAGGCGCTTGCAGAGAGCGCCCTGCAGCCTGAGGACGGAGCCTGGCTGCAGCAGCGGTTCAAGATGGGCCTGGCCAGGCTTGAGCCACTCGGGCCCCGCACACCGCTTCCCCCGGACTTAGCCAGGGAAGCCGACCCCTTTCCTTTTGGAGTGACTAGATCGGCTGAGTTCCCCTCGTTAAACCTGTTTCTGGAGTCTAAGCTGTGATTTCTTCCTGCCAAGACCAACGACCACAGCAGAGCAGCGCATACGCCCTTCCCCGCCACGCGCAGGGCCTGGAGAACAGGACCCGCATTCGCTGGTGACGGAAAGTACTGAACACAGAACTGCTGGCATCTTCCTGAAGGTTCACAGGAACTCTGGCCGCTGCTGCTAAAGGAACCCAGCCAGCGGCCGAGCGGGGGTCCGAAACGAAAACACAAAAGCGCGGGTCACCTTTTTGGAGAACTCCTTCTCCCTGTCGCTCAGGGCCTGCGCTTTCTCCTGCTCCAGCAGGAAATGCGATCTTCTCTGTTCCTCCAAAACGGATTCTGTCTGATGCAGTGAGTCCCGCAAAATTTTAATTTCTCCGTTTTTAATGAGAACTTCTTCTTCCATTGCCTTCATCTGGAAATGCCAAACCGACCTTGTGAAAAGTTTGTCAGGGAAAATTACACATGTACTTACGCCCACATGCGGCTGGGAGGTGGAGAAAGCGCGTGTGAAACGGGTCCCACAGACCAGTGAGCGCTCACAGTACCTGCCCCCCCAGACGCCACTGGGGTTTGCTAGGCCGGCTCAGACTGGCTGATGCTCAGCAAGGCGGCTTACACACACTTGTCCCTCACGCACGCAGACGCTGGGAACCCAGTGAGCCTCACGCTTCACAGAACTAAGGTTCCCTAGGGACCAGGTTGGTCTCAGGAAGGGTATCTGCTTTTTTTGCAAAACTGCTACTGAGAACAGCCACCACTGCGATGTGTCCCTTAGGTGACACCTGCTGTGACCTGTCTGCGCTACAGCAGGAAGCCTGCACCTCGGGGGTCTGGCGTACTGTTTCCTTTCTTGCCTGGTCCGTTAGGAATCTCAGGATTGAGTCTCTTTCGGCCTCAATGTTCTGGCTGTCTTTTCCCAGCCTTCCCCCATTTATGGGGTGACTTCTGGACTCATTTTAAAACTTTTATATATTTTAAAAAAAACCTCTTATATGTTACTGCACCATGCATGCACAAGTGACGGATTAGCTGCAGAAACCAAAGGTGAAGTCACTTACCTTCTCTTTAAGTTCTTTGTATTGGGCCTGAAGTAACTCTATTTCAAAATTATCTTGGACTGCAGCACTCTCTCTGTTTCTCCCTGCAGGACTTTTGGACACCCCATCTGCTCTGGGGGCGCTATGAACACCTGTTAAGAAACAGTTCCCAGCATTGTCCCACTTCTGCCAGACAATGCTGGAAAGAATCACTCTCGAAAGCAAAGTAGAGAAAGATCTAGTAAGAGATACAGGTATTTTCCAACCTAGGAATGTGATCAAACTCAGAAATGATCCCTATGAACTAACAGATGCCGCCACCCTCCCCCCATCACCCACCCAATGTTAAGTCTCATCTAAAGGCTGAAAGGCGCTGTGAAGATCTCGCGGGTCAGAACTCAATGATCTATGATGCAGCCTTACTGAGCAGCTACAATAGGCCAGGCCTGGGTCAGTCCCTGAAGGCACAATGGGATGGTGAGCAAAGCGATTGTCCTTATGCCCGTGGAGCTCACAGGACATTAGGAGAGCAATGCCCAGTTTCTGTGTCGCAAAGAAACAGGGAGAACTCAAGGAATAAAGGAAGGTCAGTGTGGCTGAACCCGAGGAGGAAGTGGGAAAGGGACAGACCGCGCTGGGCCTGTCAGGCCACAGGAGGGGGTCTGGTCTTCCCACTGGAAACCGTGGGAGGCATCAAAGGGCTTTCGGGAGGGGTGCTCACGCGCATCAGTGTGAGAGGCAGCCCGACCTGCATGTTGAACAGACCACGCTGGCTGTGCTGTGAAGTCTGACCTGTAGGGAGTCAGATTGGAACTGGGAAGACAACATCCTAGACCAGTGATGGCGAACCTTTTGAGCTCGGCATGTCGGCATTTTGAAAAACCCTAACTTCACTCTGGTGCCGTGTCACATAGAGAAATTTTTTGATATTTGCAACCATAGTAAAACAAAGATTTATATTTTTGATATTTACTTTATATATTTAAATGCCATTTAACAAAGAAAAATCAACCAAAAAAATGAGTTCGCGTGTCACCTCTGACGCGTGTCACAGGCTCGCCATCACTGCCCTAGACTGTTGTCCGGGGGAGGGCGGTGGTGCCTGACATCAGGAAGATGGCAGAGATGACGCAGAGGCCGGATTCCAGAGGTGCATTAAGAAGGTGAAGGTAGAGGAGCTGGGAGGGAATGATGTGTGAGGCCACGGGGAGGGAGCGCTGCCTTGTGCAAGCTGAGAGGCAGCGGTGCTAGGCACCATGATGCGGAGCATCTGGTCACCGACCAGTGTTTTCTGAAGGTCTGTTTTGCCAGGCGCCAGGCTGGAGATGCTGGGGGGCTGGGTCCCCAGGAAATGACTGTGGAATTGAAGATGCCTGCGAGACACCCAAGTAGAGACGCCAGGTGCCCTCAAAACCTTTCTCTCTCCCTGGCCGGCTGGGCTCAGTGGATCGAGCGTCGGCCTGCGGACTGAAGGGTCCCGGGTTCGATTCCGGTCAAGGGCACAAGACCAGGTTTTGGGCTTAATCCCAGTGGGGGCCGTGCAGGAGGCGGCCGATCCATGATTCCCTCCCATCATTGAGGTTTCTCTCTCTCTCCCTCTCTGAAATCAATAAAACATACGTATTCAAAAGAAAAACGTTCTCTTTCTGGGAGCCCAAGACCTCATTCGTCCCCAGCTAGATAGCACGTAAGCTCCATGATGGAGGGGCTTTTGTCTTTTGCTCCTTGCTCAGCAAGCTGCAGCTCCTAAGGGTGGGCTCCTAGTTCAACTACTGGTTTTTAAAGGAGCAAGTCTCTCTCATCTCCTGCCTCTGCCAGGCCCCTTAGGCTCACGCAGTTCAAGCGGGCAGTGGCCTCCATGCGACCTCAAGCCTCCCGCAGGAATGGGTCTTCAGGCGGAGGCGGTTCGGTTCTGAGGGTGGAGGGAGCGTGTTCCAGGGACCTGTTAGAACGAAGAGCTTCAGAAACTAGTTACTTGTTAACCTAGTTTCCTGCGTTTCAAATCGGTTGTGTGACATTCCTGACCCATTTCTCCCCCCAGAATCAAAGGAGCTTTGGGGACACGACTGCTGCTTACATCAAGCAGTTCCTACATTTTATTTAAAAATTTTTTTTTACTGATTTCAGGGAGGAAGGGAGAGAATAGAAACATGAATGATGAGAGAGGATAATGGATCGGCTGTCTCCTGCACGCCCCCTTCTGGGGATCGAGCCCGCAACTCCGCGTGTGCCCTGACCGGAACCGACCCCGGGCCCCGCCTGCGGGCCGACGCTCCGTCCACGGAGCCCCACCAGCCGGGGCGAGCAACTCCCAGCCTTGAAAGAAGCGAAGGGCGGCGTGGGTGGGGGGCCCAGGG